ATTCCCACTTGGAGGAGAGACCCAGGAGGACTTCTGACACACACTGATTTTGAGTGAGCGACATATAAATGTTACTGTATTAAGCAGGAGAGATTTCAGGATTTGTTAACAATGCATAGCATAGTCCACCCTGACTAACAAAAGACATATAGCCTGTATATGATTTGTTTAGCACTTCTATTTGTATCGCTAGCTTATACTTTCAGCTTGTTCATTTCCCTGCTGAGATTTTAGATGTCTGTGTGAAAAAGCTGATGTTACTCTGTGCCCACAGGAGGGTAGGCCAAACACATGAAGAAGACCCCTTTAAAGTTAGAAAGCCAGAACTCTTAGCCCAACATCAAGTACTAAACAGGCCCTAGTCTGTTAGTTGCACCCACCATCCCCATGGGTGCCTGGCTAAGTCTCAGAAACTGGTTGGGGACTGGCACAGCCAAGGGCATTGCCCTTGTACTAAGGAAACTCATGTGTTGGTGCTGATGGGAATATGCAGACACCCTGGCCAGTGTTAAGTGGTTAGAGTTTTGGCCCTCGGACCAGGAGGGTCACAAATTCCATTCCTGGTCAAGGGCATGTACCTGGGTTGCAGGTTTGATCCCTGCCCCTGGTCAGACCATGTGCGGGAGGCAACCCATCCATGTGTCTCTCTCACATCAATGTTTCTCTCTCTCTCCCCCTCCCCTCCCTTCTTTCCTTCCACTCTCTCTAAAAATCAATGGAAAAAATATGCTTGGGTGAGGATTAACAAAACAAAACAAAACAAAAGAAAACCACACACACAAATCAGATGTACCAATAGCTACCTGGTTTGCAGTTAGTTCTCTCCAAACATAACATAGAACATCGCTCTTTTATAAAATGTTATTGAGAAATACAGCTGCTAGTGGGAAATGACAGTAGCCTGCCTGGTGTAAGACAGATTTGTTATTAGCAAAGCCATCATCTATTGATCCTATCTTCCACCTCTTGTTGGAAATGTCATTGGTGAGAAGACTTTGGAGATTCCTGTTTCCTTCCTTGACAAACTCCTGTCTGAATTGCTGCTGGCGTATGATAATGAATATGATCCTTTAGGTGCTTGAAATAAAGCAATGTCCACTCGCTTCCGAGGAGATCACGTTTGCTTTTAGAATGTGAGCGTTAGCTGGGAGACCAGCGTTGCTATGTTGAGCCTTTGTTGTCTCTGATCGTGTTTCCCGGGAGCGAGTGTTGGGACAGTGCTGGCACTGTTTCTCTTCCTCCTTCCTTGGATTCTGCTACTAGAGTTTGTAGTCAAGATTGTCACATTTTTCATGGTTAAAGTGTTTTCCCAAATGCTATCCATACGTGAACTGCATCTTGTCACCTATATTCTTTTTCTATATTTTTTAAATATATGATGGTTTGTGCAATCATTTGGGGGAGTTGTCTGGAATAAGAATGAGCCATGCCCGCGTTTTATAAGTTAAAAACCTTAGGTCCTACATCATTTTTCTCAGTTATGTAATGTCTTCAGGAAACTTTAAATCGTTTTACCTAAAATATACCATCGTTTGTCATTAGTGGTCGATTAATGTTTGAATTAATCTAAGATATTTGATGAAGCGATACAGACGGATGTAAAGGGAGACTTGCCTAATTATCGTGAACATTCGTGGTAAAAAGATGACTAATTAAGACAGAATCTCTGCCCTCAAACAATACAGTTGAATGTTTTTTAAAAGCAGGAAATAATACGTATCATTAAGGCCTTAAGCTTTAGTTTAAAACAGGGTTTCTCAACCTCAGCACTGCTGATGTTTTAGGCTGGATACTCCCTCTTCGTAGGGGGCTGTTTTGTGCCTCGTAGGGTATGTAGCAGCATCCCTACTGGCCTTTACACAGTGGATGCTCGTAGCACCCTCTGCACCAGTTATGACAACCAAAAATGACTTCAAACATAGCCACATGTTCCCGGGCGGGGGAGAGGGGAGTAAAATCGCCTCCAGTTGAGAACCGCTGGTTTAGGGTAAGGAGAGATTATTCTAACTGGGAAGCTCAGAGAGGACTTTTGACAGCAGAGGTAACGTTTGAATCCTCTCTGATGGCTGGATAGGACAGGCAGGGGCCACAGCCAAGCATTGGGAGGCGGGCATACAGAGGGAACAACACGAGAAGTGTTAACAAAGGTGCAAAAGGGTAAGTCTCTGTTCAATACTGTACTACAGCCACTGCCTGTAAGGTTTAGGGAAAGAATAAATGCTAGTCATAAACTGTGAGAGGGAAGAATATCAGCATCAATCGGTGCAGGTGGTTTGATCATAGACTTAGAAAACCCAAAATCAACTAAGCATTACTAACAGCAATGAACTGGCTCAACATCAAAGGATAGGAATTGAACTCGCTCTCGTGGGTTCAGATCTGGATTCAGCTTCTGCTGTCAACTGTGTGGCCAGCATATGACTTCACTTCTCTAAGCCTGTTGGCCGACAAGTATTAGAGACTCTTTTAAGGATCAAACTGGGTCATTCACTTAAGCACTTTGAACAATGTAAAGCCCTGTTCATTGTCATCATTTGTGTAGCCAACTTTATGACCAAGAGGTAATACTGAAAAGGAATAGGAAACATGTTCTCGTTCTCTCTCTCTCTCTCTCTCTCTCTCTCTCTCTCTCTCTCTCTCTCTCTCACACACACACACACACACACACACACACACCAAACCAAGTAAAATCTCTATTAGTTATTTAATTCTTCACTAATTTCTCTTATTTTAATAACAGAACACTTTATTAAATATTCTTTTCTGGTGTCATAAGTGTTCTAAATGAGCTATCTCATTTAAATGCAGGAACCACCCCATTTACAGAATGGGTACTTAGGTTGGATAACTTGCCCAAGGTCATATAACTAGCCAGTGGGGAGCCAGTGTGCCCCTACTGGCAGCCGGGTGGCACTACAGGGCAAAGGCTCCAGTGCGTCTCCCGTGTCAGAAAGCTGTGTGACCTTTGCGAAGTGACTTCCTCTCTTGAAGTCTCAATTTTCTCATCTTTAAAATGAAGATAACATTACCTGCCTCAGAGGGTTAAATTAGTTCATGTGTGTAAAACTCTTAGTATGGGGCCTATCACATCATATCATTATCCTGACTCCTACTACCACCCCAGCCACCACTGCACTCTACTGGTTCAGCAGAGGACACCCAGAGGAGGATATCTTTGCACACGTTAGCAATCCAGGTTTCATTTCCCGTGGCTCTGGTTGGGGCTCTTTTTTTGCCTTCCTAACTTGATGCTTTTTTAGTAGGGCTATATCACCAATAGCACATTTGTTGCAATACTCTAGTTAAAACTGCTCAATTTCTCTCTCTCTCTCTCTCTCTCTCTCTCTCTCTCTCTCTCTCTCTCTCTATATATATATATATATATATATATATATATATATATATATATTTTCAAAGAGGAAGGGAGAAAGAGAGAGAGAGAGAAACATCAATGATGAAAGAGAATCATTGATCAGCTGCCTCCTGCACATGCTCTACTGGGGACTGAGCCCGCATGTGCCCCAACCAGAATCGAACCGTAACCTCCTGGTTCATAGGTCGACACTCAACCACTGAGCCATGCCAGCCAGGCCAAACTGGATAATTCTTAATTTCAATCTAGTATCATAAGAATAAGGAAGGATGTAGTCACCAATTCCATACCCACGTCTCCAACAGCGGCATCATAAGATTATCGTGATCTGAAGTGCCATCACCCACCTCATGCTTAGGAAGAGGTTTTTCCTCAGCCTCACTCAGCCTCACTATCGGTGATATAGCCCTACATGTGTTGTCACATGTCTTTTCTTTTGTCCTGTATTGCTGTTGCCTTGAGCAAATTTGGCTCTTTCTGTTAGAAGCTAAAAATGCATTTTTTTTTCCTTTACACAGACTAAAACCAAACAAGGAAAAGAATAGTGACATTAAAAAAAAAATTAACATATAAGCATGCTAAAAATTAAATTGTCAAAATGTGCAAAAGAAAATCACTTATTTTTCCCTGCTTGAAGCAAATGGCAGTTTGTTTTGCATGATGGAACAAATGAAGATTTTTGGACCATGTGGGAACAAGCTGAACTAATTTATTGCCAAATGTTGCTCTGTGACTATGAAGCTTTTCACCACTGGCCTCAAAAAATGACCTCACAAAAGCTATGTCTGAAAGGAATCGCCAACTATTATTAACTCAATGACAAGCTTTGGACTGTGTTCTGATTCTCAGTGGATTAATAGCTTTAAATTATTTTAATGATTTTTTTCCTTTAAAAAAAAAAAGCACCAGATTTCTCTCCCCTTTAATCAGCCAAAAATGATAGTATGTTCCCCTCTCTTCTCCCTTTGTCATCAGAAGTACGGAATCTAATAGTCTGGGAGATCCTAGCTGATTTACTCCAGATACTTATCATAAAAATAAAAATTGCAGGGCATTCATCAGCACTCTCCAGAGACTAGTAACGTATTGACTTCAAGTCACCTATTAATGTCTTCCCCGGACAGAATGTCAAGAAATTCATTGTGAGACGAAGACCATCTCCCGCTTCCTCCTCCCACACCAGAGGTCAGCTTGTTTGGGGCCAGTGGCTAGAGTACGAATCTAGCCAAACAAGCCAT